GTGCCCTGCGTTGCGTGCGGTTCCAGTTTTCTGGTACTCCACAAAAGCGCGGATTCGGTTGCGCCTGCGTTTTGTGCCTTCCCCAGCCTGAGAGGCTCAGGCAGCCAGAGGCCTGGGCGCACTCTCCCTGGGTGCAATGCGCCCTTTCCCCTCCACGGCCCCAGCCTCAGTTTCTGCGCGTGCCGGTTGGGTGCAAGCAGCTTGTGTTTGTTCTCAGGAGCTAGCCTCTAGCCGCCACCCTCCCGGCAGCGGATGTCGGATGTCGACCATCCAGAATCTCAGGAAGTCTTTGGATAGAAACTGGAGGCCTGTTTGCAGTGTGGGAGGGGATGCCTTCTCTGGGGCCGAGTTTGCCCCTTTCCCCTCCCCGCTGCCTCCTACCTCCGGCGGGGATGGGCCGGTCCACCGCAGACTAGCTCTTCTCTGGAGTTTCTCAGTCCCTTTGTTTTGTGAATGGCCGGCAGTGTGTTCAGGCCGGTTAATTTTCTCTCTTGCTATCCCAGAGTTTAAAAAAGCTCCCCCCGATTGCTCTCAGGGTCTTCAGGCCCGGTCCTTACCCTAAGCAATGCCGCCCGCTCCTCTCCGTTCCGCCCCCACTTGGCGGGCGTCTGGGGTATTTTTCTGCTGGGAGTTGCTTTTAGGCACGTAATCTGTGGGTTTTATTTATTCTTCCCCTCCCAGTCAGGTTGCCCTCCAAGATTCCCCCAGACCCGCCAGTGCGAGGGTTTCCTGGTGATTGGAAACTTCCTCTATTAAGACTCCCTTCCCGGGACGGGTCTCCGTCCCTAGCTCTTTTGTCTCTCTTTTTATCTTTTATATTTTGTCCTACCTCCTTTCGAAGACAATGGGTTGCTTTTCTGGGCACCTGATGTCCTCAGCTAGCGATCAGAAGTTGTTTTGTGAAATTTGCTCAGCGTTCAATTGTTCTTTCGATGAATTTGTAGGGGAGAAAGAGGTCTCCCCGTCCTATTCCTCCGCCATCTTGACTCCTCCCTGTATGTCTTCTTTAGAAAAATGTCCACTCACCTCCTCTGCTCATTTTTAAGTTGGGATTTTGTTGTTATTGTTGTTCTTGCTGTTGTATGTGTTCTTTATATATTTTGGACATTAAACATCTCTTTTAAAATAGCATATTTGTCACAACAGACCAGGCTAGGCTGAAGAAACAAACCCCACAAGTTGAGGAGCTTAACACACTAAATAAGGTTTATCTCTCAGATAAATCCCATGTAGGTTCAGAAGATCTGCAGGATAGTTTCCTCCCAAGCTCAGGGAGGAATCCCTGTGTCTCAGGGATCCTGGTAGGTCCCATAGACTTTGCTGTCTTAATAGTAGCTTTTAGATTCACTATGAAGAGCTGGAGGGTCATGCAAGGGTTTTTATGGCCAAGTCTACATGGTGCATACATCAATTCTGTCCACATCCCATGAGTCAGTCGCTTCAGTTATCTCCAATCCTGCGACCCTGTGGCCTATAGCCCACCAGGCTCCTCTGTCCATGGGATTCTCCAGGCAAGAATACTTAAGTGGGTTGCCATGCCCTCCTCTATGGGATCTTCCCTACCTAGAGATCAAGCCCACGTCTCCTGCATCTCCTGCATTGCAGACAGATTCTTTACCAGCTGAGCCACCAGGGACTATAACTCAGTCAAATCACAAAAACCCAACCTAATTTCAAGAGAAATGGAAAGCTTCCATATAAGCTTCCTATAAGCCCTGAAAGAGGAAAAATAAAAATGGGTCCTAATGAACATATGGTATGTTCTCTGCCACACGTGAGAAAGAATATCCACAGAAAACTTATAGCAAACATCATAGGTAATAACAAAGCTTGGAAATTTTTCTTCTGGTAGTGGGCATACCTCTGGTAGTGGGCATTCCTCTGGTAGTGGGCATAGCAGGATACCTGCTAATACCATTTCTATTCAGCATAATACTAGAGGTCTTAAACAATGCAACAAGAAAAATAAAGTGTTAAAGAATTGAAAATGAAGCAGTAAAATTGTTGGTATTTTGGACATAGAAGATTAAGACTCTGAAGGTAAACTATTAGAATTAATGAGAGAGTTTTGCAAGCTTACCAGATACACATTCATGATATCTAAATCAGTTATATTTCTGCATATCCACAAGGAGAAAAAAAAGGTATTTTAGAAGTATCATTTATAGTAGCATCAAAAAATTCAAGAATCTAGAAATAAATCTTACAAAAGATGTGTTAAGTGCTGTACAAGAAAAATTGTAAGGCTTTGTTTAGAAATATTTAGGAAGACCTAAACAAATGGAAAGAGATGCCATGCTCATGTAACAGAAGGCTCAATATTATAAAAAGGTCATTTCTCCCTAAGTTGAATTATAGATTTGATCCAATTCCTATCAAATTTCAGCAGGTTTTGGGGGCTGTTTCATCTTTGTGGAACTTAACAAATGCTTTCTAAAATTTATGTGGAAAGTGCAGAGTCAAGAATTGCTGAAATACTCTAGAAGAAGAACAAGTTAGGAAGATTTACTTAATCACATTAAGAAATGTACTAAAGCTCTATTAAACAAGGCAATGTGACGTTGTCTAGGGACAGTAAATAGTAAATAGAACCACAGAACGTAACAGAGCAGAGAAAGCAGCTGGTACACAGATGGACACTAGGAATGCCGTGTGGTGACACTGCACAGCAGAGGGGTGGAGGATCTTTTTGGTAAATGATGCTGGAGTAATTGACTATTTAAATGGAAAATACTTTTAATAGGACACCCGTCATGCGCAAAGACACCAATGTGAAAAACAAAACTATAACAGTTTATGAGATAATACAGGAAAATACCTTTATAACACAAAATGCACTAGCCATAAAGGAAAAAACCTAACAACCCAGCTATGTAAAAATTCAGGACATTGGTTTTCAAAGGATTCCACAAAAAGAATGATAAGACAAGTGAGAGAAGTTATTTAGGACATGTATAACCAGCCAACAAAAGGCCAATATTTGAAATAGATGAAGAACTTTACAAATCAATGATAAAAAGGCAGAAACCTGAAATAAAGGCAAAAGATTTAAACAGGCACTTCACAAAAAATTAAGCTTGAATGCGTAACAATATATAAGAATAAATGCTCAGGCTCATTGGTAAGCAGAAAAAGGAACATTAAAATCACGGTGAGCCATAACTATACATCCATTAGATGGGAAAATCCTGACAATAACCCTGTATGGTTATTTGCTCGATGGTGTGGAGCAAATTAAACGCTCATACACTGCTGATTGGAGAGTAAATATCTATAACTGCTTTAGAAGATTGTTTGGCATTATCTAGTAAAGCTGCAAATACATCTACCCAATGGTTTAGCAGTTTCACTCTTAGGAAGGGTACATATCCTAAGAAATATATGCTTGTGCACACAGGGAGACTTGTGCAAGCATTTTCATAGCAGCATTTTTGGTAATTGTCTAAAACCAGAATCAAATGAACTCTATCAACAATAAGATAAATCAATTATTTGGTATATAATCATGCAATAGAATATTATGTAGCAATAAAACTGGTTGGACTACATGAATTTTATTAACAAAATGAAAAAGGCTTATTGAAAGAACAATTCAGTATGATTCCATTTTTTTTAAAGTTTCAAAAGCAGGCAAAAATCTTTGTTTTTTCAGGTTGCATAAATACATGATAAAGTTATAAAGGAAAGCAAGAGAACTATGAAAAAGTGAGAATTGTTGTTGTTCTTGTTGAGTCATTCAGTTGTGTCCGACTCTGTGACCCCGTGGACTGCAGCATGCTGGTTTTCCCTGTCCTTCACCATCTCCCAGAGTTTGCTCAAACTCATGTCCATTGAGTCGATGATGCCATCCTACCATCTCATTCTCTGTCATCCCTTCTGCTCCTGCCCTCAGTCTTTCCCAGCATCAGAGGCTTTTCCAATGAGTCAGCTCTTCATATCAGGTGCTTGTGTGCACAGGGAGAGAAGTGAGAATAGTGGTTAGCTTTCATCAGAGTGTGGGGGTGGTGATAAGGGACTTCCATATCTTAACCTGGGTGAGGATTAGAAGAGGATGTACTTTATAACTCTTTGTAAAACTGTATTTTTTCATGCTCTTTTATGTGCACATTTAAATCTTATAATACAATTTTTAATATATCATGTATGAAGTTAAAATATTAACTCCCCTCATAGATATTATATTTCATCCTTCCCACAAGGTGCTGCCAAGCAGGTATTATCCCATTTTACAGAAAGGAAAACTGAAGCACAATTGACTCAGCATTTTATTCTTTCAAATATCTTGGTAACTTGCCTAAGGCTTCCTAGCGAGTGATGGAACTAGAGCTCCCACCCGAGTCCCATTCAGAGTCTCTCTGAGCCCCATTCATGCTCTTTCCACGATGGTTCCCTATAGCTTCTACAGTTCACTGCAGCTCTAAACCTGTGCTTCCCTGTTCTCCCGTCGCTGAGCCATGCAGCATTGTTCATAGATGGCCCACATCATTGTCAAAGTAGGTCTTCCCTCCCTTAGCAGCACAGTCCTCCAAAGCCAGTGGTGGCCCTGTGCAGTTTGCATCCCCTCACCCATCCACCTGGTCCAGGAGACACGTCATTCCTTTGTCTTTGATCCACAGAATCTCCTATTTGAGCTAAACAGCCATATGTAGCTGTTGTCCCATACATGATTAGAAGAGGCCCACACAGGGGGAGTCATTGTATTCCCTCAACGTGTTCTGACCCTAACTATCCACAGTGCCACCTGGGAGCCTTGCCTCAGCCCGACCCTCCCAGCCCCCTCTCAGCTACTCCAGGGCATAGAAGACTCTGGAGAAGAGGCACATGATGCCCAAGGTAGCACCTTGACCTGACCCAAGGGAGCTGATCTTCCCAGCAGAGAATTCCAGTGTTTGTTCCCACTCAGGATGAGGCTCTGAGATTTTTAGTGCCTGCCTGAATTCCAGCGGCCAGGTGGCAAGCCCCTGTACCAGCAACACCCCTGCTTTCCCCTGCCTAGGCAGGTACCAGGTGATCGGGGGTATCATCTCTCCTGTCAATGACAACTATGGGAAGAAAGACCTTGTGCCTGCCCGGCACCGTGTGGCCATGGCCCGGCTGGCCCTGCAGACGTCCGACTGGATCCGGGTGGACTCCTGGGAGAGCGAGCAGGCACAGTGGATGGAGACAATCAAGGTGCTGAGGTAACAGTGGGCATGCGCTCGTGGGATGGGCAGGGGCCACGATCGTGTCCACAGAGCGCGCAGTGTGGGAGGCACGGATGGAGGGTTGAGTGGGGCTTCAGCCAGATCCTCGCACCCAAGTCATGCAAGTGTTTATCCTTAAAGCAACAAGAGACCGACAGGTTCACCTTCTCAGAGAGGCCCTGAGTAAACAAATCACAAACCACTACCCTTCAGGGTACTCTTTGTGGAAAACCCCAGTCTCGATTCAGAAGGCTGAAGCATCCAGGGTCCAGGGCTCCCACTCAGTAGCTGTGTGACATTAGACACATGATAACTTCTCCAGGACACATTTCTCACATGCAGAATGGGGACAGTATAACCTAACAAGGATCACAAAAATGTAAGTCATTTTTCTGACCCAGAACCACATAATCATACACAGTAAATGAGACCTTGTATTATTGTTATCATCCACTAGGTTGAAAACTGTATCTACATAATGGGCCATCTTTTCTAATTGTACAAATTCTGGGTTCTCTAAATCTGGACTTTAAAAAGAGCTATGAATCTAGAGATAGTTACACAGGAATTTTTTTTCTTTTAGAATTGCTATTAATGTTCAGCATAAGTAATAGAGCTGTTTGAAAACCCCAGCAGGCCCTGTATATGAGGACAGTCAGTATCTGACTTGTGTCTGGGAAACCTTCCTGGGAGTTTGCTAGGGAAGCAGGAAACCCCACCTGTCCTGCCTGTCAGGGGGACTGTGAGGCGGGTCTGCCTGTCACTGATGACAGCCAGCTCGGCTGGAAGGGACTGCAGACTGTGGTCTGTGTCTTTTATTCATAAGGAAGCACTAGACTTGTCAGAGAATAGACGCAAGGGGCCAGGTTGAATAATTGGCAGGCCTGCCCATAATTTGGTTTTTGCTTTTTACTTCTCTTGAAAGTCACTTGGGGGAAGAAATGTTTACCTTTAGCAGAAAAAAAGGTAAACATTTAGTTTCCATATCCTATTCTTATTACATACCCTTTGCTGGGGAAAGAACCAGCTAGAAGTATTCAGTTACAGTGCTTCTTCAATATGTTGCCAAATTGAAGGAGAGCAAATATGAAATAATTGTTAGACCTATGCTCTTTTTTTAACATAAGGAATAAATTTACACCTAGATCATCCTTTTAGAATAAACAATGTAGTCAGCTCTTCTTTATCTAGGCTGACAGAGGGGAGTAGAAACAAATCAGATGATCCAACAAATCATTTAACTTTACTGTGTAGTCAGAAACAAAGAGACATTGTCCTCCTCCACCCTATGGGAGGCGCTGTGGCCTCAGGCCCAGATCTTGGAGCCAAATTACTAGTGAAGTGACTTGAGGTGAGTGAGACAGGCTCTGTCTTCAACTAGTAAGATAGGGATGACATCATCTACTTCACTGGGATACTGTGGACATTAAATGAAGTGATGCAGGAAAACACCTGGCTTATGTGCTGTGCTTAGTCACTCAGTCCTGTCCAACACTTTGTGACCCTATGGACCGTAGCCCACCAGGCTCCTCTGTCCATGGAGATTTGCTAAGCAAGAATACTGGAGTGGGTTGCCATGCCCTTCTGCAGGGGATCGTCCCAACCCAGAGATCGAACCCAGGTCTCCTGCATTGCAGGTGGACTCTTTACCAGCTTAGCTACCAGGGAAGTGCCCATCTGGTCTATAATAGGTGCTTAATAATATTAGGGGCTTCCCTGATAGCTTAGTTGGTAAAGAATCTGCCTGCAATTCCACTTCCATTGGTAAGGAATACCTTCCCTGCATCCCTAACTGTCCCATAGTTTATTCTCATAACAGATAAACCATTCACGGATAAATAGGATTTGACCACAGTACCACATATTAATATCCTGCTACAAAATGCAGGCCTAAGATTTACAGGATGCATTCTTTTTCTCCTTTTACTGTATCCTTTAGACAGATGCTTCTCAGCCCTGGCTGCACACCGAATCACCAAGAGAGCTTTCAAAAACACAGAAGCCTGAGTCTTACCCCAGAGACTGGATGTCATTGGTCTGGGATGGGGTATCAGGATTGTTAAGAACTCCCTAGTGATTCTAATGTGTGGCCAGAGTTGAGGCCCACAGTCTCAGTCACCAAGTTTGTAAATAATGTTTTATGATTAATACCGGGATTGATCCAAACCAGTGGTCCCAATCCTGGCTGTAGGATTCACCTGGGACACTTTTTTTAAATGCTCAACCTCTCCTACCCAAGCTTATGATTTTTCTAGGGTAATAGGCAGAGTGTAGGCATGGATATTTTAAAGGTTCACAAATGATTTATTTTGTGCAGCCAAGGTTGAGAATCCGCTGATAAAGGCAGCACTGTTTTATCAGCCAGTTAAGAGTCTTTTCAGTATTTGGAGTGGCCTTCATTAGAAATTTTGTTTAATTACTAATGTTTTCCTAAGATTATCAAAAACATTTTTTAAGTTTGAAAATCTGGTTGAAATTGTAAAGTAAGGTGATTCTAGAAGCATGGTAGAATGCTCTAGAATGCTCACACCCTTTTGCTCCATTTAGTATCCTCTTGGTAATTCAGATGGTAAAGAATCTGCCTGCAATGCATCAGACCCGGGTTCAATTCATGGGTTGGGAAGATTCCCTGGAGAAGGAAATGGCTACCCACTCCAGTATTCTTGCCTGATAAGTCCCATGGACAGAGTAGCCTGGTGGGCTACAGCCCATAGGGTCGCAAAGCATCAGACACAACTGAGCGACTAACACTTACTTGGTGGAGTCAACAGTGAATCTACATCATGGCGACAGTGACATATATCACTATGAAGTCAGTTCACTGTAGGGTTTACTGAGTGTTCTTTTTCTCCTTATCAAGTTGCTTATTTTTATTCTACATTTTTAAAAGCTGGGTCAGCTTTCATGCTTTTAGAGCACTTGATGGCTTATTTCACTTGCCCTTTCCCCATGCTGGGCAGGCCTTGGTCATGATGCCATGTGATGTGGTCAAGCAGCAGCAGCTCATGTGCCCCTTGGCAAATATGAGCCTGTGTTGTCCTCATCCTACAGATGAGGAAACTGAGGCTCAGAGAGGCTAAGTTAACTAAGTTGCACAACAGATAAGCAAGTGGTGGAACCCCAGTCTGTTGGACTCTGAAGCCATATGTATGGCCATCTTAAAAACCAGTGATCTACAGCGGGGAACACCACGTGGCTGACTCTGTTTCTGCCACAATGAGCCTCTGATCAGGCTTACCTGGAGACCAGGGGCTGCTGAGGACACAAAGAATATGCCTTCAGGGTCAGTCATCAGGCCCAAGGCTGGGCACACCAGGGTACCACTCAGGCAAGCAACAAGAGGAAGCAATGACCCCCCACCCCACAAAGGCAGGGTGGAGGTCTGTGAGAAAGATGCATTTGGCACTGAAAGTAACCTTTTGCACACCAGAGTTCAGAGTTCCAGCTACTGTTCAAAGTAGGGTCAACTTGAACCAGGGGCTTCAAGGTCAGTGAAAATAAAATGATAATACCAGCTTTTACTGATCACCTACTATGTGTGCCAAGCATAATAATTAGGCAGCTCAGCAACTCTCAGAAGTAGATGAGTTTGGCCCCATTTCACAGATGAGGAAACAGGTTCTGAAAGAGTCAACAACATATTCAAAGTCCTACAGTGAGAAAGTAAAGATGGCACCCAAACCTGTTTCCATCTGATGTGAAATTCCAGACTAATCTGGAAGTGAATCCTCAAGAGGTGATGCTTTCTAAAACTGAAGCAGTAAGAAAATAGTGGAGGGACTTTCCTGATGGTCCAGTGGTCAACACTCCATGCTTCCAATGCAGGAGGTGCTGGTTCACTCCCTGGTTGGGGAACTAAGATCCTACATGCCATGTGGCATGGCCAAGAAAATATTTTAAAAATAAAATTTTAAAATAAAAACTGCAAATTTATATTTTAAAAAGACAATAATGGAAGCACAGATGAGTTCAGCAAGGCCCTAAGAAGACTCAGGTAAGTCTCTGAGACCATCAGGAAGGACTTTGGACCTGAATGAAATGTATTTGTTTATCTCCCTTCCATTTTTCCTGAATTCAGCTGACTTTAGGTAAGCAGTTTCCTAGGTACCAAGAACATAAGGGTAAATTAAATGAGTTCCTGTTCACAATCCGGGGGGCGGGGGGGAGAAAGACTGAGAGTAAGGCTGTTAATAACAGCTCATGTTGATTGGGCACTTTTCTGTGGATGGGCTGTGCTAAGCTCTTTAATTCAGCCTCATCATAGCTCTCTGAGGTGGATACTGTCATTGTCCCCCATTCTACAGATGAGGAAAGTGGAGGCAGATTGCTTAAGACACCCAAGAAGATTCCAGCGCTATTATTTGGAACCAGTATACCAGCCCAGGCAGTCTCATTGTAGAACTTAACTTCTACACTGCACCTTCTCCTAACAATCAGCATCAGCCTCTTCACCAGCCAGGGAGAAGCCCTTGCTCTTTCATGGTCTTGTGATACTCAGTATAGACAAGGCCGCCATTAACTTTCCTGACCTAATAACAGAGGTCAGTGAGGCTCTCAGAGTGTTCATGACTCACCCAGCAGCGTACAAGCAGGAGAGCCTACACTTGAACCCAGCCACTCTTACTGAAAATACCTGCTTCTCCCACCAGACACTTTTCCCCAAACAGCTCCAGTCAATGCAAAATATAGTAGGCGGAAGACAGAAGATCAGATTGATACAAGACTTAGTGCTTACCTGTGTTTGATTAAAAAGAAGGCACAGGTATCTTGATTGCTAAAAGATTGCTAAAAGAGAGAGAGATTGCTAAAAGAACCTGGCCTACCAAATGGGTATAAGTCTAATCACATCCAAACTGCTAACATATAATGAGATTTGCTCTGTGCTCTACACCCCTCAGTGGACTTTGCACATCTACTCCTTTCATCTTCATAACCACGCTTGGGAGGCAGGCACTGTCATCGTTCCTCGTTTTGCAGGTGCTGAGACATGAAACACCCACCCAGGGTCCTACTGCTGACTGGTGGGAGAGACTGGATTCAACCCAGGCAGTCAAGCTCCAAACCAGGCTCTGAGCCATCACCCAGTCAGGCTCTAAAGTGCTAGCTTATGACCCGAGCAAGCCTCTGTTTCGAGAGGCAGCGATGGGCCATGCGCTGTGCCAGCGCTTGAAAGTGTTAGTCGCTCACTCGTGTTCGACCCTTTGTGACCCCGTGGACTGTAGCCCGCCAGGCTCCTCTGTCCAGGGAATTTTCCAGGGGATCTTCCCAACCCAGGAATCAAATTTGGGTCTCTTGCATTGCAAGTGGACTCTCTACCTGCTAAGCCATTAGGGAAACCCTGTGCCCATGCTTACTGTGTGGTAACTTACTTACCTTCACAGAAGTCTAAAAGGTAGGTATATTATCCCAGCTTTTTACAGCTGAAAATTTGTACTCCGAACTCAGGTCTGATTCTAATAGCCCAGGTCCTTAATCCCTATTCAGCTTTTATAAAAAGTGAGCTACTGAAAGAAAATACTTAAAAGAGTAGAAATCTGCTTGTTTTCTCCTTTCAGCTGGGGCTCATAGAAGGCAGTCTTGGATAGGGTGGTCTGTGAGCACCCAGATACATCACCTGGTACAAGGCCTGGCACACAGTAGGCCCTCAGTACATATTTGTGGAATGAGCTACCTTAAATGGACAAAGGCAGAATGAGACTTAAAATCAGAGGCCCCCCTGGGTGGTGTGGGGGGACGGTAGACCACATGGATGCACCCTGAGCCCATGTGCTTACCCCACAGGCATCATCACAGCGAACTGCTCAGATCTCTGCCCCAGATGGAAGACCCAGACCAAGGCAGTGCCAGCTCCCCCACCTCCACAGGTAGGTGCTAACCCTCTGCTCTGTCGGGGGTGCGGAGCATGGGAGGTGGGATGAGATGTCAGGGCTTCAGGTGAGAACCCATGTGAGCCACAGCCCTGGGCACAGATAAGAGTTTTTGAGGCCTGCTTGGGGTGACACTTTCCATGTTGAAAAGTCAGGTTAAACAATCTGCCACTATCCCTTGTAAATCGTTGTTTGCTAAAGTGGAATTTCCTGCCCCAAAGGAGGTTACCTACCTTGTGACTTGTGCTTGTGACCTGGATTACAGCCAGGACTAAGCAGGGATCAGCTTCTGGGTGCTGCTGAGCTAGTTTGAAAGCCTGAGCCTTTTTGAATACAAAATGTGCCATTATATCCCTTAGCCTAGCACTGGATAGCAGTGTTACTCAAGTGTTTTACTCGGAAGAGGAAACCTATTTTTTTTTTCATTTATTTTTAGTAGTTGGAGGCTAATTACTTCACAACATTGCAGTGGGTTTTGTCATACATTGACATGAATCAGCCATGGAATTACATGTATTCCCCATCCCAATCCCCACTCCCACCACCCTCTCCACCCGATTCCTCTGGGTCTTCCCAGTGCACCAGGCCCGAGCACTTGTCTCATGCATCCCACCTGGGCTGGTGATCTGTTTCACCCTAGATAATATACATGCTGTTCTCTCGAAACATCCCACCCTCGCCTTCTCCCACACAGTCCAAAACTCTGTTCTGTACATTTGTGTCTCTTTTTCTGTTTTGCATATAGGGTTATCATTACCATCTTTCTAAATTCCATATATATGTGTTAGTATGCTGTAATGTTCTTTATCTTTCTGGCTTACTTCACTCTGTATAATGGGATTTTTAAGAGATTTAATGTCAATTTGGATTTTCCTTTTAATCTGTAGCCCTGGGTTTCTACCCCATGGTCAGCTCCTGGTGTTTGATGGAACCTTGTCAGCTGTGATTTCAGAGCACCTCCCATGGCAGCCCTGGTACCAGGGGTTAAATACACATCCCCCTCAGGCACATAAACTGGAGCACAGTGATGGAGGGCAGGGTGGGCCAGGGGCAAGGGATCACTGGTATCACCCGGTCAACATTTTAACAGGCTCTTTTGTGGGACTGCCTCCAGCGGCTCTCCCAACTTTAGCTGGTGGGACACTATTTCCCTATGAGAAGAGCTCCAGATTGTCGTGGTTAAACATGCTTATAATGCCGTCTTTTCTATAGGACTTTTCAGAGCCTTTACTTTGTTCATGTGCATGTGACTCTATGAGGAAGGGAAGTAGCTTGCAGCCATTCTTAGCACTTTTTAATCATGGGGCTCTTTTTAATGCATATTAGTATTCCTTATAACTGATGCTCCCCAGAACACAGACTGGGAATCGCTCTTCTAAAAGGACTTGAAAGGTGGGGTGAAGAGAGATAAACTATACACCCTACTATATATAAAATAGGTAAACAATAGGGACCTACTGTATAGCACAGGGAACAACACTCAGTATCTTGTAATAACCTATAACGAAAAAGAATCTGAGAATATATATATATATACACATATGTTTAAAAATAAATTAATTAAGAGGCCTTGAAAATGCCCTCAAGTTTCCCGCTGCAGTCTCCGGATGCTGATCAAAGCATCACTCACAGCATCACTCACACCTGTGTGGCTTGTTAAAACCACTGAAGCCCAGGCCACGCCCCAGACCTCCTGAGGGCAAGGGGCCTGGAACTCCATGGTTAACAGGCACGCTGGGGATCTGCTTTACTGCCAGTTTGGGGAACTGTGCTGTTGAGTGGGAACCCAAGAAAGAAGGAGCTACCGAGTTTCCTATATGATCACCTTCTCCAGTATTTATTGCATTCCTCTGGACTCCCTGTCTGCCTATCCTCCAGAGCCAGCAGGGGCTCCTCCTCGCCTGTCCCCCAGCCCTGAGCACAACACACAATGCTCATTCTCAGCCCTCTGTCTTCTTTCTGAATCACCTCTGGCTCAGCAGTCACTCCTGATAGAGTTCTCGAGACGCTGGCTGGGAACAGAGGTGCCCTGGTCTGGAGACCATCTATGGATAGCAGTGAGTCTAGCTGTGGATAGGGGAACAGTCTGGAGGAGGCAGTGCTGCATCACCACTTGCAGGACCTGTAGGTTATCTGGGGTGGGGCACACCTTGGGGCAGAGGAGCAGCTGAGTAAGGCAGGCAGGGCAGGAAGTGCTGGCCACCTCATGCCATTCAGGATGCTAGAAGCTGTGGCGAGAGAAGGAAGTAGCTGCCAGTGAGGCAGGAGGGATTCCACACTGAGGCTCCCGGCGTCTCACCTCTCTGCAAATGCTTCTAGAAGCCCTGTCTCTTTGCCTGGCCTGCTTCTCCTCCCACTGCCAGTTGTGGCTCTGCTGTTGAAAAGCTGTCTGTCCTGTAAGGCCCTTCCCTAAGAAACCAGTCCCCCCTCCACCACTTCAAGTCACCCACTTTCTTTTTGGATGTGCTTGTCCAGGGGCTACTAGCCTGCTCTGCCTGGCCTTATGACATTCGGGGTTTGTCCCTTACTCCGTTTCTCTACGTTCAAACCCTAAATCCTACTCTTCTTGTTCTCTTCCAAAGTAATTGCCAGAAAAGGAAGTTTGAAGAAAAAAAAAGGAAGTTTGCATTGAATGAAAAGTGGGCTTTTCAATTTACCAAAATATATCTGGGGCTTTAAAAAGGAGTGTGCCCTTTGCTTGATAAATTCCCCTTCTAGGAATCTGCCTGAGGAGGTAATTAGAAATTGGGACAAAGACTTAGGAAAAAGATGTTTATCACAGCAATTTTTACAATGGCAGAACATAAAGCAACCTCAGTGTTAAAATGTTAGGGAATGTATAAGTAAATTTACTATATATAATATAGGATGAAGAACCCACACAAAAGGTTTTCATGATAAGGTGAAACACTTAGGAGGTAAGTGGGAAAAAAATCAGGATACAAGACTGGATAATCTCAAGTATATAAACATATGTAAATGTACTTTCACATCTGTTTGCATGTTTAAATAGAAAAGACTAAGAAATATACCATATTGACAATTTTTTGTAGAAAGCAAAATTATTGTTGTTATTTTCTACTTTAAATACTTAGATTTTCCACATGGTCCACAGTTGACACAGATTTCATGTTTATCATCAGAAAAATAATAGAGCAATTAAAAGAGAAATGTGGAGTTTTTCTCATGTAAGTTTGGCTTCTGATGAGGTAACTTGCATGCTGCTAGTGGCCTATTTCTAAAGGACCGGTTTGTGTGCCGTGTGCTCTGTCGCATGCTGTTCTGCTCTGCAGCTGAGCTCAGCGTCTTCTAGCTGCCAGGACCCTGCTTTCCCCATCACTGCTGTGATTTGTGGTCCTCCTTGGACTCCCCCAGAGGCGTGTAGATTGCCTTTTCCTGGGCCGTTTGGGTGTCACACTTTGGGACACTTTCAGTCCTTTAATAGCCCAGTTCTGACGCTTATGAAGGTAGTCCCTGCCTTGGCTGTTGGGGCCGAGCACAGCTCAGAGGATTCTCTTTCCATACAACCAGAGCAGATGCTTCTTCTGTTTCCATTTCACACTGCCTGTTCCAAGGTGGCCTTGTATGATTAGTTTGGGTGTTCCCCTCATATACCAGAGGGCTTCCCTGGTGGTTCAGTGGTAAAGAATCAACCTGCCAATGCAGGAGATGCTTCAGTTCCAGGGTCAGGAAGATCCCCTAGGGTAGGAAGTGGCAACTCAGTCCAGTATTTTTGCCTGGAAAATTCCATGGACAGAGGAGCTTGGTGGGCTACAGTCTATGGGGTTGCAAAGAGTCGGGCACACACACTTCAGATCCCAATACCTGGCTTCATCGTGGGTATCCCGTCTAGACCCGGAAGTCCTGCACTCCAGACGCCACCCTCTGTGCCTGTGTTCATGTGCTGTGCTAGGCAGGAACTTTCCATTGTGTTCTCGCCATCACTCAGCTTCCATAACTCCCAAAGGAGGCTTTATTACCCCTACTGCAGCTGAGGAAACAGGCCCATCAGATATAATTACCCCCAAGGTCCTCGCAGACCTGAGATTGGAATCCAGAGCTGACTGGCCTCAGGGTTGATGCTCTTTAATGTTAGAGTGTGAGCAACCGGACATTCAAACGAACAGGTTCTGGTGGCACTTCTCTTGCTTTCTGTGTGAGTCTCTGCTTCATCTGCTCTCCAGAGCCTGTGGTTATTCAAAGACAGAGCACACTGCCCCAAAATGCCCATGGACATCTATTTATGTCACTGAGTCACTGTTAAGACAAATCAAATTGGCAGCTTTTATTCAAAACCTCAGACTTACAGACTGGACTCTCAGAGTAACTCAGTCTGCAGATTTCATAGCAGTGATATGAATGTGTCTGAAAGGAAATGTACCTGCCTTTAAGGGGCCTGATGATAGGACTGCCCAGAGTTGTGGCTGGCAGGAGGGATCCGTCGCACCAGCCCCAAGGGCATGCCTTTTGACTTGGCGGATGACGCAGGTGTGGGTCCTTGTTCCCTCTAGGCAAGGGCTCAGAGTGGATTGTGTTCCATACTGTCATTGTTAATAAATTCAAACAGTATTTAATATTGAAGCAGGTGTGTGGAGATCATCCCCACAGAAACCCACAGGAGAAGAAACCCTGACCTGTGGGAGCAGGGAGATGTGCCCAGACCCCAGGAGACCCTGGAATTCAATGCACATCCCTTAACCTCCCCCATAGGAAGAACACGAAACAACAATTCAGTCGCTTGAAAGATCAAACACTGGTCTCTTTCTATATTACAGTGGTCAGATAAATAAGAAAGTAGAGTAAAATCTCACAGGTGTGGAATAGTTTGAATCCACATACATGTTGTAAGCAATGGGACCAGCCCAAATGAGTGAAAAGTCTAAGTTACTGAATAATTTTTAAATGCACTTAGGACGTTTTCCATAAGTGCCAGTGAGTGGATTGGTGGATAAGTAGGTGTGTGGATGGATGGATGAATGGATGGATGGTAGTTAACACATACCACACTTTTTCTGTTCTCTGTTCTAAGTGTTTTATATTTATCAGTTCATTCAATTCTAAAATAACCCTATGAGATAAGTAGTGTTAATATCCTCATTTTAAACTTGAGGTCACGTAGCTGTCAGATGGCAGAGTCAGGATCTGAATATGAAGAGCCTGGCTCTAGAGTCCTAGGTCTTAACCATGGAGAATTCATGAATACATATCTTAATAAATGTTTGAATATCATTTTATTATACCAGTAGTAGACTGCTAAAGTGTTTGAAGTATGTTTCTATGATTACATCTGATGCCTTAAAATGAGTAAACAATCCAGTGCCATCGTTTCATGGATGGGGAAACTGAGGCCCAGGGAAGGATCTCAGCTCCAGGCCCGCAGCAGCCAGTACCCAACTGAGGCAGGAACTCTGACCTCTTTATGACATGTCCAGCTTCTCACTTTCCAGTGCATCGCTGGTCGAGTGCTCCTTTGTAAACTCATCTCTCTAGTCCATGTCCAGATTCTCTCAAAGGTTTCACAATAGAAGAGCCTAAGCTGACAATTTACATCAGGTTTCCCCCCAGCAGATGGTATCCCTGAAGCCCTTCCCAGCTGAGGTTTCATGGTCACTGAAATATGTTCTTGCTCTAGGAGCCCAGCCTTTGCTGTTCACTGAAGCTAGAACTGACTTCCAGAAGGACTGGAGGCCCTGCTGGGTGCTTCTAGCATGGACTTAGTTTTTCTTTTTCTGGTTAGCCCATTCAAAGGGGATAGGAACAGGAATTTTGCCAGGAAAATCCAGGCAGAGTGATGCATGTACAGTTCCTGCCAGCAGGCGGCAGAAGAGCCCAGGGGTTTCAAATGCTCCCCAGTGGAGGCTGGCTGACTCAGTTAGCAATGAATAACCTCAGGCAAGTCACACACCTCTCTATGCCTCAGTTTCCCCCTCTGCACAATGGACATGACAATAACACCTATCTCTTGAGGTTACTCTGAGCCTCAAATGAAATTAAACACATAAAGCACTTAATAGTGCCCATAATAAACAACCAATAATTGTTAAGTATTCTTTAATCATCACAATCATCAGTCTCTGTTAGAACAAATGCTAAAGGATTATCCACATTGATCAGTTGTTCTAGAGCTTTGTTTTATTGAAAACAGATGAAAAGGTCACCAGCTGAGGTCTTAGAGACCTTTTAGTTACCCAAAGATCCTTATAATTAACCTTTAAGATGGGATTGTACTTATAAAGGTACCAGACATTAGGGCTGAAATAGATTGGCCCTAGTGGTAAAGAACCCGCCTGTGCTCCACATAAGAGAGACATAAGAGACACAGGTTTGATTCCTGGGTCGGGAAGATCCCCTGCAGAAGAAAATGGCAACCCACTCCAGTATTCTTGCCTGGAGAATCCCATGGACAGAGGAGCCTGGTGGGCTGCAGTCCATGAGGTGACAAAGAGTCGGACACAACTGAAGTGAAGCAAGCAATATAAATTTATTTATTTATTTAATTTATTTTTGGTTGCACTGGGTCTTTGTCACTGTGAAGGCTTTTTTCTCATTGCGGCGAGCAGGGTCTACTCTTCAGTGTGGTGCGTGGGCTTCTCATTGCCGTGGCTTCTTTTGTTGTGAAAAAGGAAAGGAAAGTGAAGTCGCTCAGTCGTGTCCAACTCTTTGCGACCCCATGGACTGTAGCCCTACCAGGCTCCTCCGTCCGTGGGATTTTCCAGGCAAGAACACTGGAGTGGGTTGCCATTTCCTTCTCGAGGAGGTCTTCCTGACCCAGGAGTTGAACCCGGTCTCCTGCATTGTAGGCAGATGCTTACCATCTGAGCCATGTCTCAATCTGTGCTTGTTGTGGAGCACAGGTCAATAGTTGTGGCGCAGAGGCTTAGTTGCTCAGCGACTTGTGGGATCTTCCCAGATCAGAGATCATACCCATGTCTCCTGCACTAAAAGATTCTTTACCACTGAGCTCCCAGAGAAGCACAGGGCTGAAGTAGATTTTGAGAGAGGTGGTGACTTGCCGGGGGTCCATTGTCTATTAGTCCTAGGGCTTTAAGAACCTCACCTTCTATCAGAAGACAGAGTTCTAGGTTCAGCACAGCCACCTTTGGTCTTGCTGGACCTGCTATGGGCTCCAGTAACCACAGACAGCCTTGTGGTATGACACTGAAAAAAAATCCATTTTGGATTACTTGGCATTTTGCCAACCTTAAACAAAAGATTTATTGATGAAAGTATTACTTAACAACTGTATGTCCCTAAAGTAGTTTCAGATTCATCACATACTTTTTCTCCTTAAGTCATGAACACATAGACACTGAGTTCCCCATAGATTCCAAGAAAAACATTTGGTGAAAATCTCAAACAGAATATGACGCTATCTTTCCTGGCCATGACCCTCCTGTTACTTTCTTGGGATCCACCCTTGTTTTTCCAGCTGTGCCTGAGCTGAAGCTCCTCTGCGGGGCAGATATCCTCAAGACCTTCCAGACCCCCAACCTCTGGAAAGACACACACATCCAGGAAATAGTGGAGAAGTTTGGCTTGGTGTGTGTGACCCGAGCAGGGCATGACCCTAAGGGATATGTCTTGGACTCACCCATCCTGCATAGATACCAGGACAAGATCCACCTGGCCAGGGAGCCGGTGCAGAATGAGATCAGCGCCACATACGTCAGGTGGGCCTTGAGCCGGGGGCAGAGCGTGAAGTACCTGCTCCCAGATGCTGTCATCTCCTACATCAGGGAACACGACCTCTACCTCAGGGATGCCAGCCCAGAGAGGAATGAAGGCTTGCCAACCCAGGGAGGGCCAGCCTCTTCTTTTCCAACCACCTCATCCTGAAGACAGGGCACTTATGTTCTTTGTTTTCTGAAATCTTTCCATTTTGCGTTTGGTTTGTTTCGACAATGATTTTGCTTCTGCGGCATCTTCTGTCCCAGGAAGAGATACCTTCTTCCGGAAGAAGAAAAGGTCTGAGTTACAAGGATGGACATTTATCATCGAGGTTAAAGTGGCGTGGCAGCACATCAGGATTAGACAGAAGCTCTCAGAACCTCTGGTGGAAGAGGCCTTCTTGCTTTGTAAATGGTAGCTATGGCATGAACACAGAAGACAGTTCTGCACATGGCAGGGGCCCTGAGGGTCAGATCAGAATTGCCCACAAAGCATTTTTAACTAGGACCAGGTGCAGCCTGTGGGCCTTGATTGAAGAGACTTGACAGGATGCTAATTACCAAACAGTGGGCTTGTCAAGGCCTTTTTTCAACAGAACAACGCTCATGGAGGCCCACATTCGGGAGCAGCGCTTTGTTGATTGACACTGAGTCTTCTTTTAGGAGCTGTTGTCTGCCTGCCTCCTGGTCATTGGTAAAATTTAAACTAAAATCTTTCTAAGTAGTGATCCTCAAACAGTATTTTTGATATAGTATACATATATATATTTTTAACACAGCTATTCTATTATATAAATGCCAGGATTCCTGATTTTCAGGTTTCTAAAAAAGAACTGAGTTAAAACAGATGCCTTGACTGTTTTAGAGAATCATTTTGAATGTTTTATGATGGCCTGCCTGTTGGAATATCGGCAAAGGGATAAATAATAAATTGACATCAAAAAGTACTAATGAAAAGTTTCTCTTTTTCTTCTTTGTTATATTATTAATGCCTGGTATATCAGCTGTTGCTTTTCTTTTTAGCTACTCCCTGAAATTTGCTACTGTTCAAGTCCAACTGGCATGAATTTAAAAGTTTCTAGTCCCAGGTACCAGCCATGGAGGAAGCAATTGCTTTCCAAGCGAAAGCTTCTCTAAGCTGTGGGTCAATGGCTATGTTCAGGGGAACCCTGGAAGATGCCCCCAGGAGCCCGGTGTAGGTCCAGGATTTGTCCTTCCACTCCTGATTAGGAGGAGATTTTGATTGGCCAAACCCTGTTTGAGTAGACTCTTTCCACGTGCTGACTGAATGCATTTAGAATTTACTTCTCCCTGACTTTGCCCTGGTTCATCCTTGTTACAAATTTAATTGTGCAGAAGCACAGAGTTGGTGGGAAGAATCTAGTATCTCCCGAAATATATCCCAGTATCTGCAGGTGTGTCAGGATGGACATGAGTGAAGTTGGGAATCAGGGTTCCCTGTGAGGAGAGTGGAGTGGGGAGCCCTCCCATGGGAGTCTCCAGACTTACGCCCCTGTAACCTCTAAGCTGCTGACCTTTCTCCACTGTGATGAGCTATGCCCTCAGAGGCTCCCTAAGGACCCTGCTAATTCAGAGGAATAGGAATCAAACAGACTTGGCCCAAAGCTGGCACAGCAAGCTGCATTATGTAAACTAGCTCCCTTCTCTATGGTGGGCCTCAGTTTTGCAATCTCTAAAATAGAGAAGTTTGGTTAGACATCCTCTACATTCTCTTCCAGCTGATTTTCTAAGACTCTGAGTGCCTCTGACTTCAACCTCTCCACCCTTATTTGGGTCCAGTACACTTCTAGCCCAACTGGACACTCCCCAAGGACAGGGGTCTTTGTATTCTTTGATGCTGTATCCTAAGTGCCAAGAAATTTGCTACTCCAAGTGTACGAGCAGGCCTAGTGTTTGCATCCCCGGGGAACTGGTTAGAGAGACAGACTCTCAGGCTCCACCCCACATCTACTGACTTACTCTGTAGTTGAATAAGGTTCCCACACCATTCAATGCACTGGCCTAGAGCTGTCATTCAGTCACCAAGTCATGTCTGACTCTTGGCAACCCCATGGACTGCAGCACGCCAGGCTCACCATCTCCTGGAGTTAACCCAAGTTCATGTCCATTGAATCAGTGATGCCACCCAACTATCTCCTCCCCTATCGTCCCCTTCTCCTCCTGCCTTCAATCTTTCCCAGCATCAGGGTCTTTTCCAATGAGTTGACTCTTCGCATCAGGTGGCCAAAGTATTGGAGCTTCAGCATCAGTCCTACCAATGAATGTTCAGGCTTGATTTCCTTTAGGATTGGCTGGTTTGATCTCCTTGCTGTCCAAAATATTCTCAGGAGTCTTCTCCAGCACCAAAAGCATCAATTCCTCGGCATTCAGCCTTCTTTATAGTCCAGCTCTCACATCCATATATATGACTACTGGTAATACCATAGCCTTGACTATACAGACCTTTGTTGGGAAAATGATATCTTTGCTTTTTAATACACTATCTAGGTTTGTGATAGCTTTCCTGCCAAGAAGCAATTGTCTTCTAATTTCTTCGCAGCAGTCACCATCTGCATTGATTTTAGAGCCCAAGAAGAGGAAATCTGTCACTGCTTCCACCTTTTCCCCTTCTATTTGCCATGAAGGATGGGACCAGATGCCATGATCTTAGTTTTTTTAACATTGAGTCTTAAGCTGGCTTTTTCACTTTCTTCTTTCACCCTCATCAAGAGGTTCTTTAGTTCCTCTTCACTTTCTGCCATCAGAGTGGTATAAAAATTATTCAATTTGTTTTGAATAAACTGTATGTATAACTGAAACTGCATCACATTTACTCTGGTGAATAGCCCCCACTGTTCTGTGTGGAGTACAGAAGGCAAAGGAGGGAAAAGAGAAAAACAGCACACAGCTGTAGTATCAAGGAAAAGTGATGAAGAGGGAGCCTGTGGGTTTAAGGCGGGGCTTCTCACCTTGAGCATTACTGGCATTCTGTACCAGAGAATTCTTCACTGGGAGGGGCTATCCTGTGCCTTGTAGAAAGCTTAGCAATATCCCTGCCTCAGTTCAGTAGCTGGTAATAATATCTGCCCATTTTAACCAAGATAATCACCAGACCCACTAGTTTAAGACTATGGCTTAGAGTGGGAGGGGGATGTTTATGAGACGGGGTCTCTGCTTCCCAAGAGAGAAGATTAGGAAATGGCAACTGAGTATCTTACAAAGGTCTAGTTTGGGGGTAGGGGGATCCCTACCAGTCATGAAGTCTTGTTTATTCTGGGGGACTCAGTGCTGTTGACAATAGGAATCAGAAGCCACCTCCTTGACTCAGAGGCACCCCACCTCAGTCTCCCTCTAATCCCAGTGCCCAGAGTAGTTTTCTCTTCCTTCTTCACAGGCCAAGTCTTCCAACATACCCTGTACCCTCAGTCCTGATGTTCAGGGCCTGACGAATGGAGACTCCCAGTGAGTGGGAGCTAATTGTTCTATGATTATAATTATTCAAATTTCAAGATTCACTTACTCAAATCCCATTTATTGAGGACCTTGCCTATGCCAGGCACTAGACTAAACACTAGGAGAATGATGTGAGCAGGTGGACATGGTCTCACCCCTTGAGAAGCTTACAGACCATTGTAACGGATGGGAATCAAGCATTTCCATGACAAAACATGATTTCATATAGTCTTGAGGGCTCCAGTGAGCAAATCCACCATGTACTCTGCCAGGCAGAGGCAGCAGTTTCCCTGCAAAGAAAGGAAACTGAAGCTCCAGCTCCTCGTTTGCCAGGCCCTTTCCAACACCCTGGAGGGATCTTAATTATGTGGGTATCTGATTTCACATTCAAATTTTTATTCTTTTTCTGGAAAAGGGGCCTTCAAGACTGTACAAAGTTTAGGCCCCATAAGACTCAAGGATTCACCCTGATGACAGAGTGTAGATAGCAGAGAAGACAGGATGGATTTGAGACCTGAAAGACAAATCCCCAAGACTTGGGGATGGGTGGAGGCAACTGACTTTCAGGTGGAATGAAGAGCACACACAAAGGCCCTGTGGCAAGAGAGGGCAAAGTAGACAACATGACAAGCTAGATTCATCAGCACCTCCTTAAGAAGAGGTTGAGTATTATAGTGTGGACCTGACAGTAGGCATCTGGCATGCCAGCATCAGTCTCCCTGACCAGCCTCCCCGTGGGCTCAGGGACACTAGGCCCAAGTAGGCTGGAGAAGATCTCCTGTCTGATTCATGGTTATACCTTGTGGCTGCCACCAGGCAAAGCCTTCATTTCGTAGTCTTTACTAACGCTAATATTTGTTGTTGTTTAGTAGCTGTCATGTCTGACTCTTTCGTAACCCCATGGACTGTAGCCCGCCAGGCTCCTCTGTCCACAGGATTTCCCAGGCAAGAATACTACAGTGGGTTGCTATTTCCTTCTCCAGGGGATCCTCCTGACCCAAGGATCGAAGCCACATCTCCTGCATTGCAATCAGATTCTTTACCACTGAGCCACCAGGGAAGTCCACCTTTATATATATTGTCCCCTAAAATAAAACATTACAAAAGATCTACTACATATATACATACATATATATATTTATATAGTGGATATACATCTACTATATATGTAAATATATATCTACATATATTTTAGAATTGTTGGATATTTTATATTAGAATTGTTAAGATATTTTGGAATTGTTAAGAATTTAGAATATTTTAGAATTGTTAAGATAATCCCCAATAGATATACATCTACTATATTGTGTGTGTATATATATATGTATATATATATATATATAGTATCAACTATATATACATGTATATTTCTGTACTCTCACTTGTCTCATTGATTCACATAGCCTCCCTTTTTTTAGTATCAGAAGAGAAAATACATGTCACTGCTGTGCTCCTGATTTATTGCATTGACACTGACCTGCATACCTGATTTCACATTCTTCTCCATTCCTTCAGGCCTTCTTTGCATCTTGTTTGCCAGGGTGTTTTGTTTATTCGGCGAGAACAGATAAAACAGTGGTTTGGACTCCTGGGTAAATAGAATTTCCAGCCTTAAATAAAAGTTCTCCTGTGCTAGGTATGCTGCCCAAGTGAGCGCAGCTCTGTATCCTGGCCTGAGGAAA